CATTTGAAGTGAGACAAGCGAACATTTTGTTTGTTTTCGAACCGTGATATCTTTGGATGAGATCAACCGATCTTTGATTAGTTTTGGGATTGTGATTGCCCAGTTGATTGGCTATAACATATTTTTTAACGTTTCTCCACCATTTCAGAATTATGACCTACAGGATGATATCTGAAAGTGTGATAATTTCCGAAAAGTTTGAGGTCGCCCCGTTAGCAGGATATTTTTTTTTCAAATTTTTCTGACGGCAAAAACATGAACCCTAATGTGTTTCCGCGAAATGGTTTCGGATTCATCAAGATCTATACAGGATGTTTTGAGATATGCAATATCATGGATTAGCAAATGTGATTTCGTGATTGGACGAAAAACCGTCAGGGTTAGTTCGCAGGGAGGAATGAAGTGAATGTGGAGTGTAGTCATTTTATGAATAAAATCGTCAAAGCTAGGATGTTTTTTCTCAGTGGATATAGAGAATGAGAATTGATGAACATATACCACGAAGAGAATACAGATAATACGTAACACAATATTTTTTTAATAAAGAAAAATTAACAACGGCAGATGTGGTCGATTATCAATATTTTGTTACACCACCCCTGGCCGCTGCGAGAGCCCTAACTCTTCTCGGCATACTTGTTATCAAGCCATCAATGAAATCTTGGGGAATAGCTGTCCATTCTTCCACTATCGCATCTTCCAGTTGTTGAATATTCATCATTTTACCTTCTCTTCCCTTCAAACATAATTTTAACCTAGCCCATACATGTTCTATTGGGTTCATTTCTGGAGATACGGGTGGCCATCCCATTCTTTCAATATTATGTTGTCTCAGAACTTCCGTTACAATTCTCGCACGATGTGGTCGTGCATTATCATCGACCAGTACGAAATTGTCTCCAAAGTTTTGAGCAACTGGTATAACAACATCTCTTATACACATGTCACGATATCGAACAGCATTCATACTTTCCCTCAAAATAACCAACGTGGTGCGATGATTCATCATGATACCGCCCCATATCGTAACACCCCCACCCCCAAATGCCACCCGCGGCTCCATGTTTTCCTCCAGAAACCTCTCACCCCGTTCTCGCCATACTAAAATCCTTCCATCTGATCTGAACATATTACACCTACTCTCATCAACGAATAAACATCTCCTCCAACCAGCTATTTCCCAGTTCAAATGGTTCTGAGCCCAAAGTCTTCGAGCTATCCTGTGGTTCAGCTTTAACAAAGTACAAGATGCCCTTCTTCTTGCTCTCAGATTGCGCTCATGAAGCCTTCTTCTGATTGTCTTATCTGAGACAACAACTCCTGTTGCATTTCTTAGTGCACAGTTCAGTTGTCCAGCAGTCTGTGTTCGAAGACGACGTACCGAAGTAACTAAGAAATTATCATTTCTATCTGAAGTCTTCCGTTGTCGTCCACCTCCGTGACGATAATTAGGATCTCCTGTTCGATCGTGACGACGGATTGCCCTGTATATTGAAGCTCTTGATGTATCGAAATACTGTCCAATGTTTTCAACATTCAAACCACCATCTCTCATTCTGAGAACCATTTGTAATTGTTCATTAGTTAGTCGTGGCATATTTTATTACAATAATCAAATGTTGGACAATTTCTGATTATTTCCCAGACAACATATTATACCGAGGGGTTAACCAATGAATTTAAGGTATTCAAAAAATTCGAATAGCCATTATGTTGTTCAAAATTGCATATCTCAAAACATCCTGTATGGATCTTGATGAATCCGAAACCATTTCGAGGAAACACATTAGGCTTCATGTTTTTGCCGTCAGAAAAATTAAAAAAAAAATATCCTGCTAACGGGGCGACCTCAAACTTTTCGGAAAGTATCACACTTTCAGATATCATCCTGTAGGTCATAATTCCGAAATCGTGGAGAAACGTGAAAAAAAAAATATTATAGCCAATCAACTGGGCAATCACAATCTCAAACCTAATCAAAGATCGGTTGATCTCATCCAAAGTTATCACGGTTCGAAAACAAACAAAATGTTCGCTTGTCTCACTTCAAATGTGGAGCAGTTTATATAATGGAGTATGACTGAAAGATAACTGGACTTCATGTTATCACAGTAAATTATCCTTCATGTTACCGAGGAGGGATTTGAAATCCAAAATGAGTTGATTCGAATCAAGTCCTATAACTTGTTTGTGAGAGATATAATTCCCATATCACTTATACGAATGTTTCTTTTGGAAGTTCCAATTTTGATTCTTATTTCGAAACTGAACATATCGGTATATGATAATGATAAAACATAAGACATCATATCATTCATCAGAGTTGAGAGAATGTCAATCCTCAATTTCAAAGAATTCTCATTTTTCATGCTCTCCTGTCAAATGTTCAACAGATATGATTCAATGTTCAAAGTAGCTGTTTTCTGAATAATCAACCGAGGTAGAATTGATATTTTTATTACATAAAGAATGCGAATTCTTTATATTTATATCCATTTTTGTATGTTCATCATTCATCTGGGAATATTTCTTTTCAACACATTCTGATTATGAGAAAACCTAAGGGATTTAAATGGGTTCAGATATTTCCGATTCAAATGCAGATTCCTGAAGTTATATTGCCAACGCGGGCTATATTTGGTTGCTGATACTACAATCCTGCAATTAGACTAATTGAAATAATCGCATTTCAGAAATCAATTGCATTCAATTCATTGTATCGATATAAATAGAATACGTGTAAACGCAATTCTTTTAAAAGCTGGGAAATATTGAAGTAGTGGGTAGATATAAAGAGTTATTTTGATAGCTTTTCATCGATTATGAAGAATATCAAATTAAAAATATCATAGAGTCGATGAATTACGGAAAAATGGAGTGGTTAGTTTTCAAAATGAATCTTGCTAGACGTCCGCCTACTACGATGACATTTTCAAGATTTGGAAACAATCAAAGCTTAGACGGCTATGAAGTTGATATTGTCACTTATGAATTGAACAAGCTGCAGCTGATTTTCAATATGCCATTATATTGAAACGTGACAAGTCTTCGGATTCATAACAAACACAGGGTCTGGCAGAGGGATATGGAAGTTTTGAAAGTGGCGCCAAGTATGGTGAATATGAACCTCATGTTCTCGGAATAGTAAACTCGCCGGTAATGACAGCAATATTTATAATATATATAAAATTGCGAGACAGATTGGCTATCTATGATAGCGTCTCTCAGTATAGTCTTTCAAACAACAAGCCATTACGAAGCTTTGTTCGCGATATTCGATCCATCATCTTGAATTTCCAATTTTGACGTAAGAATCATATTCTCCGAGCCCAAAAAACTTGACAGTCATATTTTGAATGGAATCGGATTATAATCACAAAACGCGTTCGCCATATTGGAACTGTGATTTCGAATTACCCAATTTCGGCGAAAAAATTATAATCTTCGATCTCTAAAACCCCTAGATACGAATTCTGAATAGAATCGATTCATAATTACGAGATCGTCGTCTGTCATATTAGATCCACTATCATGAATTCACTAATTTTCACGAGAGTATCATGATCTGCGACCCCATCAGAAAACACAAATACCATTTTTTGATAGAATCGAATTGAATTCACGAAACCAGTCCGCCATATTGGATCCTTCATCTTGAATTCACAAATCCTGACAGAAGAATCATAATCTCCGACCTCAAAAACCTGCAAATACTAATTTTGAATAAAATATAGGCACTTATTTCTAGAAAACATTTTTCTACATATTCATCAACACACTCCTCATCTTGACTATTCATAAAAATGTGTTCCATCGGTTTTACTCTTCACTTTTTCTATCTCTAACTTCTTTTTAGTTCGACAATCAATCTCACTAGTTATTTTTTACCTGAGCAATCTTTTTTCTACTTCTTTTTAGTTTGGCCTCGAGAATGGATATTTATGAAAGCGTGTTTCATTTTGGTCTATCAAACTACAATAAATTACAATGAAGCTTGTTTACCAATTTACCATATGGGCTTCATCATCTTGGATTTTCCAATTCTGAATGAATCATAATCTCCGAGACCGAAAACCTCCAGATACAAATTCTGAATGAAATCGGATCATAATCACCAAACTCGTTTGCCATATTGAATCCGCCATCTTGAATTCTTTGATTTTGACGCAAAAATCATAATCTCTGACCCCAAAAACCTCTAGAAATGAGTTTTGAAAACAATCAAATCATAAAAGCACAGGGAGTCTAAAAGAAGAATCCAGTAGCTTGTCAGTGACGATTTGTTTGAAAATATGTTTGAAGGAAAGAAATATAAATATATTGGAGAAATATTGAATTTTCCCTCATCTTTGTATAAAGATAGAACATGGTATTCACTACTAAAAACTGAACATGACAATGATAGATTCAAGATCAATTAATGGAAACATCCTGTAACATATTTGTGGACTAAAATCACTCATTCATATGCCAACATCAGTATGACACTGAAAAGTGTCAAACTATAAGCAGCACAACTTCTAAAGAAAAATATTTTGCATTCACATGTTGAAAACTGGAGCAGATTCGGTCCCTGAACGTCCAAAGATAAGTAGAAATTCGACATTTCTTCAATATATCTATATTTTTTTCATTCAAACATTTTATCAAACAAATTGTCACTGACAAGCTATTGGATTGTTCTTTTAGACTCCCTGATAGAAAAATTTGTTATGATTTGCCCCACTACAAATATATTGAAATAATACGAATATTTTCATATTATAGGAACGAGGAGAGAAAATCCCAAAGAATCAAGTGATATGAATGTACTATCTCCTCGATTAGTCTACAGACAGAACTTTTTCTCATTATGTTATCAGTTCCAAATGATGCACACATTGATTGAAACCAACGTAAGTTACGTATTGCTTTTCTTTTTCCTAAATATTGGATATTGGACCTAGACCCCCGCCAGGGATGAATCTTAATAACGCTACATCATATTTAAGCTGAATTACCTCCATGTCCCGAGGAGGGATGCCCGTGGAACGGAACCAAAACGGCACTGGACGCGATGTTCTTCCCCAACTGGGTGATAGAGTCGCCCTGGGCGCTTATCAGCCGCCCTTTGACCGAAATGAGCTTGCCGCTGCCCTTGATGAGTTGGCCCTTCACAGCGATCACTCCGCCTTTGATGGCTTTCACCGCCTGCAGAAGGGTGTTGAGGATGGACTTCTTCAGCGACCAGAAGTCGAAGGACTTGTGATCGTAGGTCTAGAACACAGAAAAAAGTGGAAGTGTGAGATTGCTATAGATGAAGATGAATTCTTCATTTTTTGTTGAATATTATATCAAATCTAGATACATATCATATTGGTTCCCAAAAATGTTCAACACTCTCCCTATATAAATGAGAGATATAGTGGATAAACATTCGTTCAAGAAAGCTTTGAAATTATTCATCAATGAGAAAGATCGAAATATCATAAATGATTATTTCAAGTGAGTTCCTTATAATTATTATAATTTTCTATTTATTCCAAATTATATGTATAGTGAGGGGCAATATTATGGAATAAATTCATTTTTACGAGAATAGGCAACTTTTGAGACAAATCCCGAAACACGTCGATTTTTATTTCCAAATTATGATTTTGTGGCAGATATGTCATACTAGTGACGTCATCCATCTTTGCGTGATGACGTAATCGATGATTTTTTTTAATGAGAATAGGGGTCGTGTGATAGCTCATTTGAAAGGTTATTCAATTCTCTATTCAGTGATATGAATATCAACATAATTATTTATACAGGGTGGCCAAAAAAATATTTAATTTGTAAATGAAATTAATTTTCACAAAAAGAAGTATTATAATTTATTAAATACAAAATTACATTGTACTACTGTCGGAAAACAAAAAAAAAAATTATTTGACAAATAAAAATTGCTTTTCGCTTAAATTAAATGTTCAAATTGCCACCCACTGGCCTCTTGGCAGTAATGGAACCGACGAATACATTCTTCTTGAACATTGTGGATCATTTCTAGAGGTATATTACGAATTTCCAATCTAATTCTATTTCTTGAATCTTGTAAATTCTGTGGTCTATCGATGTAAACTTTCGATTTTAAGTAACCCCATAGGAAAAAATCAAGTGGTGTAAGATCTGGAGATCTTGCGGGCCACTCTATTGTTCCTCGTCGACCAATCCATCTCCTACGGAAACATCTGTTTAAAAAATCACGAACAGGACGTGCAAAGTGCGGAGGTGCACCGTCTTGCTGAAACCATATGTTTTCATTTGGCGAATTACGATCATTTTCATTTGAAAACATGTCTGTAAGGGCGGGTATAAGTTCATTTTGTAAAAAATCAAGATATATTTGCCCCGTAAGAGACCCATCGAAGAAAGAAGGACCTATAATTCTATCCTCGACTATCCCTGCCCACACGTTTAGTTTTTGAGGGTGCTGAGTGTGTACCGCAGTCATCCAATGGGGATTATCTTGACTCCAATATCTGCAGTTTTGCCGATTCACTGTTCCATTTAAACAGAAGGTTGCTTCATCAGAAAAAAGGATTTCACGAATGAAGCGTGGATTTTGATTACATAAATCTTGCATTACTTCACAAAACTGCATTCGGCGATCTGGATCATCCTCATTGATTTCGTGGACATTATGAATTTTATACGGATGATATTTCACTTTTTTCAGCACACGTAAAACAGACCTTTTAGAAATGTTTGTATCAGCTGCAATTTGCCTAGAATTAATTTGAGGATTCTCTGCCACACTTAATAATACAGACAGTTTCACATCCTCATTCATTGGTGGACGACCAGCATTTGCAACATGTTTCACGTGTCCAGTTTCTCTAAATTTCTTCTCAATTTTACTAACAGTGGATTGTGTGACAGGCGTATTAGGATATTTTATGGTAAATAAATTACATACTTCTTGTTGTGTTCTGGTTCTATCTCCATATCCAACCATAATTAATACTTCGATTCTTTGTGTTTCAGTTAATGGGGCCATTATTTATTTATTTCATGAAATAAACTAGTCCTTATGAGAAAATGTCAAGAACTGACTTACATTTGACCCAAGCCAACTCGATTTGTAAAAACTATACTTTTTGCTATCTTTTTAGTTCTCATTATTTATTTGCCTAATATCGGAATTTATTTACACATTTCCAAGATTTGACAAATAGCATTACATTGGAAATTCGTGATTCAACTCCAGAAATGATTCACAATGTTCAAGAAGAATGTAATCGTCCGTTCAATTACTGCCAAGAGGCAGGTGGGTGGCAATTTGAACATTTAATTTAAGCGAAAAGCAATTTTTATTTGTCAACTAATTTGTTTTTCTGTTTTTCGACAGTAGTACAATGTAATTTTGTATTAAATAAATGATAATACTTCTTTTTGTGACAATTAATTTCATTTACAAATTAAATATTTTTTTGGCCACCCTGTATAAGAATTATGTTAATGTTTATATCACTGCATAGAGAATTGAATAACTTTCCAAATGAGCTATCACACGACCCCTATTCTCATTTAAAAAAATCATCGATTACGTCATCACGCAAAGATGGATGACGTCACTAGTATGACATATCTGCCACAAAATCATAATTTGGAAATAAAAATCGACGTGTTTCGGGATTTGTCTCAAAAGTTGCCTATTCTCGTAAAAATGAATTTATTCCATAATATTGCCCCTCACTGTATATACACGTATGTTTGCTTTTTTGCATTATAAGCTTGTAAATCGCTTGTGTTTGTGTTAAGACACACATTTTGAATTCAAATTAAGATTATTATTGAGATATTCTAAATTGTTTTGAATATATTATATTTAACTATATAAATCAACTTCTCGAAACAAGTGATTCATCACTTATTGAGTATTGTTATTTATCTATTTACTACATTTTCTATCATTTAGGCATATCCATTGTATTTATGTAAATGAATAAATGCATTATCTTATCCTTCACATCACAACCAGTGGCGTAGCTACCTGGGAGCTAGGCAGGACAGTGCCCCGGGGCCCTTGGGCTCAGGGGGTCCTCGAATCCTTACCAGAAATCTCGATCAAACTGAACTTTCGATTTCTCTCATTTTCAGAATGAATATGACAGGTTGCAACCCCACTTCAATCATGACAACTCAGTTGAGAGAAAGAGTTATGCCAAAGGAATTTTCCTGAATTCTTTCTGTGCAGTGTTGTCAATTTGACGAATAGTGATATGATATGAATGACGGATAGAACAATTTTAGATTAATTTAGAACAAATATGAAATGGAATAATTTAGAAAATCCGAATCATTCGTTTGGTATCTCCAGATAGGATTTTATTGACTCGAACTTCGATGAAGGTATATACAGGGTGTACTATTCACATATCAAGAATGAATAATATCAACACTTGATATCAATAGATATTTACAAAGTGGAATCTAAATATTATATACATTTAACACAAGAATATACTAGGGCAGGATGAAAATCTGACAGTCAACTCCATCAAAACTATACTTTATTTGAATCGTAAATTGACGCATGTTTCGAAGCTTCAAAGCTTCATCATCAGCAATATTGTTACAGGAAGTACTACAATAAGAAAGACAAAAACCTCGTCAGGCAGAGTATTCAAATATAATGAAAGTAAAAGAATCCCCACCTGTTCTGGGAAAAATTCATACGAATTCAAAAGAATTCTTTTGATATAAAAGATCATGAGATCTCTTCGATGATTTTTATACTAATTTTTTGACGAAGGTGATCCGCAGTTGATTGCGGTCCCTGTTTTGTTAACTATTTCATATTTCAATTTGTAATGATATGTTAACCATAATTTTTCGTTTTCAACATGTGAATTTTCCCCAGAACAGGTGAGGATTCTCTTACTTTCATTATTTGAATACTTTGCCTGACGAGGTTGTTGTCTTTCTTATTGTAGTACTCCCTGTAACAATATCGCTGATGATGAAGCTTTGAAGGTTCGAAACATGTCCCAATTTCCAATTGAAATAAAGTATAGTTTTGGTGGAGTTGACTGTAAGATTTTCTTCCTGCCCTATCATCTTCACTCCGCTGCAAGATGGATCGACTCAGATGGACAAAAATAAACAGTGGAAATATGATTCCCCACATTATTATCATTCACAACTCCTGTCACTTCTGCAGCAGCTGAAAGGTCATTCAGCAAATTGAAAATGATGGAAAAATATTCGAGAAATAATATGGGCCAAACCCGACTCCGACACATATTGCTCATAGCAATTGAAAACACAACCGCATCGAGCCTGAATTTGCAAAAAGCAAAAAATCTTGAATAAAATTGTTATTGAGTCAGTTGGTAGGCCTGACCATTATATAATGAACCCCTGAATCTTCTTCATTTCGTTTTACCTGTCAAACCCACACCAAGTAAATAATGTTGTCACTGTTCGATATTTTTATTACCTGCCCTGCAGTGCACAAAAAAGAATTTGAGTAGCTTAGTAGCTTCAATTAACATTGCAGTGAGCCAATTTTTTTTATTTGCCCTAGAGCCCTTGGTTATCTATAGCTACGCCACTGATTACAACAGTTCACCGGAGTCCAGCAGAACCTGAATATAAGCTCACCAAGGAAGATCCAGTTGGATATTCATCTAATTCATATTGGAAAAAACCCTATGACTGCTAATTGTTGAAACCATCCAGGGACCAGAAGTCCAGTGATTTGTGGTCCAGGACTAAAACGCGGAATAGAATCAGAGTGTGATTAGGATTTCTATCATTCGTTAGAATATCAATTCAAATCTATACTCATCGGCGAAGAAAACCGGCCAGAGAAAATTTTAGCAAAATTGACCGCTCAGTTTCTTAATTGATTCTTCTCCAATTATGGTGGAATGTCTGCATGGATTTCAGTTTTCAAGGAGAGCTGATTGGTCGATTACTATATAGGAAAAAACACAAGTTATTCTCTCACCCCTACTTTCTTAACGCCCTGTGGTGACAGTTAGTGGTTGAACTTAGTTTCATTATATTTTGGATTGAAGTTTGATTCCTTTTCAACACGATGATTTTCAATTCACATCAATATCATCCTCTGGTTTTCTCTCGATGTAAACATTTGGCCATCATAGTCAAAATTTCGAGTAGTAGGGCAAAATTTCATGACGGAAGTCGAAATTTCCACCGATGGAAAAAAAACAGTCAAAATACCTGTGATATTTTAACACTTCCGTAATTCTTGATGCAACATCTCACCTAGTACAATCATGGCCCGTATATCTTGAACACAACTTATATAGTATGATGCAAATGTATGGAATAAATTCATTATTTCAGAAATGGGCGACATTTGAAGAAATTCCAAAAACACGTTTCAATTTCTGAAACCTCATCTCATGACATTCATATGAGAGATGTTACGTCACCGGTGTTGGAGTAATGACGTAATGGACGGTTTTTTCAAATACAAACAGGGGTCATGTGACACCTCGTTTGAAAGGTCTACTGATCGTCTATCCATTAGTCAAAAAAATACATCGATAAATTTTTTTTTCGGAAGTCGTCTTGTTTTGAAATGAATTTATTCCATACATTTGCATCATACGTTACATATACAGTCTGTCCAAGATAAGGTTGAACAGCATGGGGATCTCGGAAACGGTAGGAGATGCGAAGTCGCTTAAATGGGGAAAAAGTTGCGCATTCGGAAGCTCATATCAAGAGCTTTCAGAAATTTTGAAAATTATTTTTAGTTTTTGAGTTATATCGAAAAAAGTTGATTTTTGGAATTTCTATTTAATTTTTTTTTCTCCGTTATTATCAGAGATACAAAAAAACTGGAAAAACTTTTTAATTGCAACTTTTGATGGGGTTTAACGTGGTGATACCAATTTTTTTCAACGACGTTTCGTATTCGTGGAACCATCATCAACTTTTGTTTTTTAAAGACGGTTCTGATAATTTTTTCACAGATGCTGAAAGGTTTTTTATTCTGAATTCAACAATGTACTATACAAGGTGATTCGAATGTGTTTCGACCTATTTCTATCCATCATCATTGTTTTTTCAAACTTCCAAAAGAAAAAAGCCATCAGTTCCACTTATTTCTGATCATTCAGTGTCAAACTTGATGGATCAGTTATTCAATACTGAAAAGTGGATAAAAAATATTTCACTACTTCATTCGATCAATGCAGCGTTCAAAATTGTTGATGAATTCTCACACGAATTACTTCAACAACTTAACTTTGACAATACCTACAGAGACATTCATAACAAATGTTCAAAATGATAACCATTATTTTCTGAACAAAGATATCCTCTTCCCACAGTTGCTTCTAAGACATTGCTAAGCATTTCTGGGGTTATTCTATTGAATGCTTCGGAGACACTGTCCCTTAGTTCTTTTTCATCATCAAAGTTATTTGCGTGTACAAAGTTCGATATATCCCCTTAGAAAAAATCCAGCTCTGTCAAATCAGGCGACCGCGCCGGCCAAGGGATAAAAACGCACGGACTTCTCTGGAATTATGTACCGGAGCGCCATCTTGTTGAAACCAACAGAGTTCTGAACTTCCGCAATCGGTAAATCATCCAGAGCTTCCTCAAGATGATTCTCAAGCGAATTTCTATAACGTTCGGAAGTCTGTGTTTTATGGTAAATAGAAGGAACAATAATTCGTGTACCTAATATTGCAACCCACATATTAAAGCCGAAACGGTGTTGGTGTCTCGCTGTAATGTATAAATGTTCATTTTCTCGTGAACAACAATGTGGATTTTTTCTATCGAAGCTACCATGATTAGTGACCATGCTTTCATCAGTCCAGATGATTGTTCGGAAGAAATCTGCAAAATTTTAACATTTCCTGGTATACCACTCACAGAATGTCTTGCGCCTTTCGTCATCGCCTGGTTTTAGCGCTTGACATATTCTGAATTTGTATGGATGGAATTTTTGTTTCCGCAAAATGAAATGGGTTATTGATTGAAACCAGTTGATGAGGTATCAGTGTGTTGACTAATTTTCCTTCAAAATAAGTGGAACTGATGGCATTTTTCCTTTGGAGTTTTGAAAAAACATTGATGATGGCGAAAAATAGGTCGAAACACAAATGAACCACCTTATATAATACATGGTTGAATTCAAAATAAAAAAACCTTTTAAAATCTGTGGAAAAATTATTTGGACCGTATTTGAAAAACAAAAGTTGATGATGGTTCCACGAATACGAAACGTCGCATGGATAAATCGGTATCACCACGTTGACCGTCATCAAATGTTGCTTCGAAAAAATATTCTCAGTTTTGCTGTATCTTTAATAATAACGGAGGAAAAAAATGAAATAGAAATTCCAAAAATTCACTTTTTTCGATATAACTCAAAAACTAGAAATAATTTTCGAAATTTCCGAAGGTTCTTGATATGAGCCTCCGAATGCGCAACTTTTTCCCCATTAAACCGATTTCGCATCTCTTACCGTTTTCGAGATCCCCATGCTGTTCAACCTTATCTTGGACAGACTGTATGTAACTCAAATATACTCACTTCAGGAACATGTTCTGGATGATGATAACTGTAACTACTGTGTCCGCTGCTGTGTCCGCTACTGCTGCTGCTGCTGCTGAAATGTCCCGAAGCGGACACTGACGCCCTGGCAATTTGACCGATTTTCTTCTTGATCCCTTGTCCAATCGCTTTCGTTAGGGCACCAAGAATATCGCCGGAGCCTGAGCCTGAACCTGACCTTGAAATTAAATCAAATTGATTTCCACTAACCAACAGCCTGAAAATGTGAATGGAATGGAATTTTTTGAATTCTACTTGTTCTATTGTGCTCACTTGAAAATGACACATCTTTTTGAGATCAGTTGAAGTCTTAGAGATAGAGGTGATCTCATATGTCCTCACATGTTGAAAGTAACTCATTCTTGAATATGAGAATATCATGATATACATTACAGATTGTGAACTGCTGACGTTCTATTCATCATTCAGTGGCCAATGAGGAAACAACATACATAAAAGGGAATACAGCAGGTGGATACCCAGTATCGAATCAACAGCCGAAATAGAATTCTGATACAGATCTCCATATACAAATGGTTATATGTTTTTTTTATCGATATGCTAGAGTCTCTGATGTTCTATTTCCTATCTAAGGCACATGTTATTTTGGCGGGTGATCTAAACATCAATTATAATGATGAAAACTGTCTCTTGAGCCGACAACAACGAAATTCACTCATCCCATTGAATTTGTCAATGCACGTGAATAGTCCAACCAGAATCTCTTTACATTCCGAAATTGTAATCGTTGAAGTCTGTACCAACTTTATTAGAATAGATTTGAACTGCTCAGTCTCACCAGTGAAAATTTCTGACCATGAGACTGTATATTGCTAAGTGAATCTTCTGGATAATAGCGATGAGAATCAATTCGAACTCAGCGCCAATAATTATGAAATGATAAGACTTTTTCCTACAAGCGTGCGCAAAGTAACACTTTTCCGCACTCATTTGCGTGCGCAAAGTTATACTTTTCCGCACTCAGTGCGGATAATCAAAACTACCCAAATATCTCACTGGTATGAAACATTTATATCCTTTTTACTTGCTGTAGACTATTGCACTATAAGAAGCCGTTATCCCTCTTACTTTTCAACCGTTCTTCCCGATATTTGTATTTCACCTCAATATGAATATTAGGAACAAATGTTTTAATTTTCCATCATTATATCTTATTGATATGTAATTGTTTGTTGTTTGGCTTTTTCTATCAAGTTTAACTAAAAATCATTCAATAAATTGTAATTTTAATCCTCTTAGCACCGGTCGGAGATGATTTCGCGAGTTTCGCTGTTGCATTTTGATTGAACAGCGCTGCTCCTGAAGTAGAGTTTGGAGTTAGTATCAGAGCCTACACAAAACACTCATGGGCTAGATTATCTTTCTTGAGGTCCATAGCCAGTTGGTATGTAACAGGTGTGCCACTGAAACAGACTATTTGCCGCGCAGGTTTAGGTTAAAAATATTCAAGATGAATGTGGCCAAGAGAAATCTCTGGAAATTATTTTCAAGTATTCAGGACGGCCGCTAGAAGGCGTGATTGCATTGGCTAATTCGAAAGGATTTTTTGTGAATTTGGAATATCGAGCTATGTCTAAAACATTTTTTTATGATGTCGAGTTGAGTTGATCATTTCGATGAAAAAATTGTGCTAGCTCTCATTTCTTATCTTGTTTCTAATCATTTTCCATATATATATACTGAGTCTTCGTCGAATGGATAGAACTACAGCCTCAAATTCAGTCATTGGTATGCTGTAGACGTCAGTTCTGATCCTCTCGATCATATTGTCTATAGTCGTTGGTTGGATTTTAATAACTATATCTCTCACTCTTCCTCATTGATCGAAATCTGAATGAGTTAGATCTGGAGACCTACCTGGCCACCCAAACATGCTTGCCCTGCCTATCCACTAGCCAGGATACCTGAACTTATAAATAATTTTGCGCGTTGATAGCAAAATGTGCTGAGCATTCATCATGCTGAATGAACATATTTCTTCCTCGAAGCCTTGAGGGGGCAGAAGAACCATCTAGCCTTCATAGCCATCTAGTGGCTCAAGTGCGAAGGTGTATAGGTAGATTCAACAATCATACCTTGCGAGTACGTCGTGCATAAAGACCCCTACGTCTATACGCTCACAGAAAAGACACCATGTCAGAATTCTGTAGACTATTGCCACACCTGTATTTCTCAAAGTGGTTTAATGTTCCACTAACAGATTTCCTAGAATCTGTTAGTCTTGATATTCTAGGTTTATCATATTTAATTTTCATTGAGAGATTCATCGAAAATATTGGTCCTATATTTTTTCCGCCAATAATTCCGCACCAAACATTCACACTCCATCGACCTTGATATTGAACTTACTGATACATGAGATCATCCCTCAACATATGTATATGAAGGAGTCAGTGATGAAATTCTAGTTCTGTGCAGTTAAGGCTTGGTGTTGGTGCCTACATGCCTACAGGATATATGTGCATTTCGAAAAAATGTTTGAATATATTGCCGACAATAGGTGATGAGTAGAATCATTACAAATATTTGAATAATTCAAAGCTCGATTATAAACAAACTTTTTTCCAGGAATGACATACAATGTCATTTGTCATAGTGGAAACGGAGTAATGTTGAATTAAATGGCAAGAAAGATGATGATGTGTGTCAGCATGCTACTTATGAACGGAATTATACAGATTTGAGATATCCATGCAAGTGGATAGGATGAGAGCATGTTTGGGTGGCCAGCTAGGTCCCTAGATCTTACTTGTTTGAATTTTCTAGGGACGATATGATGAATAATATCAGAACTGCAGTCGAAAGCGTGCCAATGATCGAACCCTAATAACACAATAACATCTGTAAGACGTCGTAGAAACATCCATATGGGATGATAGGAACATCTCTGGAAAATCCATATTTTCCTTGGGACATTCTTGGGATGTTGCTGGCAACACCCGTGTCAGCATTTGCGATGTCTTATAAACATCCCATCAGAATGTTTGTGGGATGATACGGGATGTACCAGAGACATTCAGGGTACTTGATATGGAACATCTTCAAGAAACTTTTATATAAGATGTTTTTTGTTTGATGACAGTAATGAATGACACGGTATGAATTATTTTCAATCTGAAATCCTGAAAATGGCGACCTATTTCCAGATATCAAGTAACAATCCGAATCCAAAAATATAAGGTCGGTGCGTCCAATAACTAATGGAAGATGATAACAGTTGTTTGAGGCTCATATTTGTTGGCGCTGGGCCGACGGCTGTTAGTAACTCTTAGCAACGTAGTTGTACCGCCATCTATCGGCTGGTATAACAAATAAATTCAGCAATAAATATGCTGAAGAGATATATTTTGATTTTGTCGTTTATTACATGGTTCATGGAGTTGAGCAGGTACTTTGGTAATCTTATTGAGGAATATTTAGTAAAATTATTTCAATTTGTTATCGATAAAATTAGCCGGCTTTGGTATAGGTATAAGTATATATGTACGAATACAGTTTTGATTTCCATTTTATATCAACTTTTCAATGTTTCAAATGTCACAATTGTTTGAATTGTTCAATCATGTCAATCATCATTAGCAGATATGGAACCATGATATTGTTTATAAAAAATATCTAATGGAATGTTTCTGGAACATCCAATGAAAACATCTGATGGATGTCCCAAGAGAAATATCTCTGGGATATCGTACCTAAGTCTGAAATATTGGACATTTGTAGGACCTTAGCGGGATGTACCAGCAAGATCCCGTATTGTTAGGGAAGTGGAGGCTGCAGTTTCATCCACTCTACATATAGTCAATTCATGTATGGAAAATGGTGAAAGACAATTGGTACATCTCGGAAAACACTTGTGCTAATAATTATTTCAGTACGTATTCAATTTATATTTTTCAATATTATTTCGAACCAGACCAGACGGTTCTTCAAGAGGGTTCGAATTGCGGTTTCCACCATCATTCTGCCCGTTCGCTTCACTGCCAAATGAGAATGAGAAATATATACGGTTCCATAAAAAATTCTCGAGAGGAAATATAAGATTGTCTGAATCTTCAAGGTGCCATCTAGCGGTCACCACGGAGCTTGAATCGACTCAATTCGTGACTCATCAGAAAGAACTGTAGGATCCTCATATAATGAGACCAAGTTTGTTGAATTCGATTTTACCAGACTGCAGTAATTGAAGCAGTATTCATCCTCCCGTCCTTTATTCATTTCAAGGGATAGCGCAATTTTTTTTATCGGAATGATTGGAAATCAACTGGGGATCATGGAAAAAGTATTCTTGACATACCCTGATTCACCAAATTCTCATGAGATCTAAGTTTTTCAATTTGCCAATGCAAATACGGTCTCTAGCGACCATGCTGGAAACCAAATAATAATTTCAAGAGAATTCTCTTGGCCACCTCCATCGTGATTTTTTTTTTTTTTTTTCGGAGAAAGTGTGGTGAATCGATAGTTTCCACTTAATACATACCAACAAGGTACATACAGGGTGTTATTCATGAATCTGGTAAATCTAAATATAGGTCCAGAAATGCTTCGTTCTCAAGTTACAAGATACGATGAAGAAGCATCTTCTGGTGATATTTGATTCGAAATAATGGGCGAGTGGACTGATGACGCATTATTGGCATTCAATTACTCCACTGTGTGGTAAGGAACCTCAATAATTTTTGCAACACTTTCCACGCTTTCCTTATGTGAATTATGAGTCAATCTGATTCCAAACGAACCTACATGGCTGCAATACGTCGAATAAATGGTGACGCCAGTATTTGAGCTGTTTCTTTATTGGTCAGATAATCTTCCTTTCACACTCATGAAGCAAGGTTGCCAAGGTTATATTCAAGTTATCGATAAGATGTTAGAGTCCTGTCGGTAAATAAAACATGAAAGGAAGAACCCATGATGTCATAGTTCAAACTTGACTTTTTCGAGCAAGGAGCATATCCGAATATTTCTCATTCTCCATAACAACATATCATATGAATGTTGGAGACTTGACAACATTGTGCTGAATGCTCAGAGATTACATTTACAATTTTTCCTAGTGAGAATTAATTGAATTATCATTTACACACATTCATTGGAAGCAATAAGCCACAAATCATGAGGAAACATTTTGAGACAATTGAGTTTGTTCGGAAATTACCGTGGCATTATCGGTGATTTCAGCACCTGAATATCGACCAAAATATTCTTTAAAAATATGGAATTGAATGGTATTTGAGTGATGATTCTATTTGAGAAATAAAAAATGATAGTTCACTCGCATATTATCCAATAAGTGGTGTCGCAGTGATTGTCTTTTTCGATATTTGTGGTAAATGAGGTACCTACGTCATATTTTCTTCTTACTCTCTCCACATGTTTCATGTTATATTATACCTATTGTGAATATCAATGACTTCAACTATCAAAAATGTACAAGGCTCTGAGGGAAAAAACGGCTTGCGATAGTGATCAAGTTTTTTTATCGCCTTGAGTGCACGAAACAAAATCCTTATAATGTTCGAAGAACATTGTGCGTACCTCGGGAAGATAGGAAGAGGAGGTAGATATCGATTTTTTTCAACTCCCAGAGATTATGCTTTGCCGTCCTATTATAGACGAACGAGTCCTTCAGGATGAAGAGATGAAATTCAATAAAATATTCTGTCGTGGATGTATAATGGCGTTATCGATATTCATGCTGTTAAATCCATGAAAATTCCTTCGACTAGAGCAATATTTCTTCTACCTGATCCCCTATTCTGTTAAGAACTCTATATACAGGGTGTCCCGATATTAGCCTGATCGATGCGGAACAAGAGCACCTTTTTTTGTGAAACAGTGTGTATTTTCAGAATCAGAGATTGAATTGTCGAAAAATATGCATTCGAAAAATTTTGAGCAATATTTAATGTAGTCCTACCCTGTATTATACACTTCTGATTGGAATTTCGAAATTATTTTATTTTCACTGCATTGGGCATGGAAAGTTTGGTTCTTGTACCAAATTGCATCTTTTTATCACATGAAGTTTCAAAAATACTCACGAAATATCATCTTCAGTAGCCCCCTTTCAGGGGGCCATAGCTTCCTTAGGAGACATTTCTCGACTCATGTTCATTGAAAGTTTTCTTTCTTTTTTTGGTCGTAAAAGCCGCTGGTTAAGTCTGGCAGGCTAATTTCGAGACACTCTGTATATGTCTTATATACAGGGTGTATCTAAATAACACCGAAAAACTTCAAGGGGTGATTCCGTGTGATATTTTAGGAAATAAAGTTCATATGAACATGTGTCCTAACTTGCTGCGTTTTCAAGATATTAATATTTCTTTGATACATCTTTTTTCTATTGATTTCTCAATTGTCTATCCATCAATTCCAATTAAACGGTGTGGTTTTGATGATAGTAGTATGGAGCTTTTTCTAGTGCGATTAGATTCGAAATAATATTTCCAGTAGCATGACAGTGGGTAAATTTACCAATATTCATGGTGAATGTCATTGTACACCACCGGATTTTCTGAGTTTCATATTTTTATAAGATTGAACTATTGGAATAACAACTCTTTTATCCTCTGTGCGATTTTTGTATCTAGCTTAGTTTTTGAGGAAACAATAAGAATTCGTTAAAAACTGTCTGTTGGTTAATCGAGGAGGTGGTACATTCATTATTCCAAATTTTTTGGGATTTTCTCTCCTCGTTTCTATAAAATGTAAATATGAATATTATTTCAATATACTTGTAGTGAGGACAAATCAGATGATTTGCCCCAAAATGTCACTGCGTTTAAAGAATTTTCCTATCAGAGAGCCTAAAAGAAAAATTCACTAGCTTGTCAGTGACAATTTTTATTGAAAAAATTTTTGGAGAAGAGAAATAAAGGTATATAGAAAAAATATATCAAATTTTCACTAAACTTTGGACGTTTCGAGACCGGTTCTGCTCCCGTTTCCAACATGAAAAGAGATTATTTCAATAGCGAAGTCGTATAATATGTCTTGAAGCTTTTCAGTTTTCGATGACAATTGGTGACGTTGGCAATCAAATTAGTTACAGGATGTTTTCATTAATTAATCTTGAATATACCATTTTCATGTTCAGATTTTAGTAGTGAATACCATGTTCTGTCTATATCAACTGAACAAGAAGCAATGCTATTGTCTCCGTTCAGAAGAATGCAAGCAGATTCCTTGATTTTTCTCTTCTGGTTGTCATCTTCTTTCCCAATGATTTTATTATTATTCCACTCTGACATATGTTGTCCGTCTTCAGTAAGGATATGTTCAGCTAGTTTCGATTTATCGATGTGTCTTTTCTTTATATTGTACTTATGTTCCTTAGTCTCTACTGAAAGGGGTCTCTTGGTTTCACCTGTATAAAACTTTCCACAAACACAAGATATACTGTAAAAATACAATTTTTTGACGATTGTTCTTCATTTTTCGGCTTTGTTTGAGTTAGAATTGATCTCATTGTATTATCAGTTTTCAACACAGTTTCCACTTGAAATTTATCACCAACACGTTTCATTGTATCAACAGTATACCTTGTGTTTGTGGAAAGTTTTATACAGGTGAAACCAAGAGACCTCTTTCAGTAGAGACGAAGGAACATGAGTACAATATAAATAAAAGACACATCGATAAATCGAAACTAGCTGAGCATATCCTTACTGAAGACGGACAACATATGGAGAGTGGAATAATATTAAAATCATTGGAAAAGAAGATGACAACCAGAAGAGAAAAATCAAGGAATCTGCTTGCATTCTTCTGAACGGAGATAAAAGCATTGCTTCTTGTTCAGTTGATATAGACAGAACATGGTATTCACTACTAAAATCTGAACATGAAAATGATAAATTCAAGATTAATTGATGAAAACATCCTGTAACTCATTTGATTGCCAACGTCACCAATTGTCATCGAAAACTGAAAAGCTTCAAGACATATTATACGACTTCGCTATTGAAATAATCTCTTCTCATGTAGGGAACGGGAGCAGAACCGGTCCCGAAACGTCCAAAGATAAGTGAAAATTTGATATTTCTTCTATATACTTTTATTTCTATTCTCCAAACATTTTTCGATACAAATTGTCTCTGACAAGCTAGTGAATTTTTCTTTTAGGCTCTCTGATAGGAAAATTCTTCAAACGCAGTGACATTTTGGGGCAAATCATCCGATTTGTCCTTACTACAGGTATATTGAAATAATATTCATTTTTTCATTTCATAGAAACGAGGAGAGAAAATCCCAAGTTTGAAATAATGAATAAAAATTCCTGTATCTAAAAAACGGAGCAAGTTAGGACACATGTTTATATGAACTCCATTTGCTAGAATGTCACAAGGAAACACCCCTTGAGTTTTTTCGCTGTTATTTAGATACACCCTGTATAGACAATTCTAAATGATCTACTGATCCGAATAAAACTTACCTTTTAGATCTACTCAGCTTGTACTCCAGATAGGCTATCTGCTTCCTTTCTTCCGGTGATATGTCCTCCAGCGATATGAGGTCTAAAGGTGCATGTATAGTCCCCTTCAATGATGCCAGAGTGTTCTTCGTGGAGATGAGGGCACATGTATAGGCTAACAAGATGAATATCTGAAACAAGAGGAATATTTCGAATTGCCGTTACATGATAGAAATTCATATACAGTGTGGAGACTTCAACTAAAATAAATTCGTTAGCGGAGAGGTGAATATGTTTTCTGAATATTCCCGACAGACATCAACGACGAGAGCCCCTCGACGGCTAGCTGAAATCACCCTCAACATGATTTTTCCAAATGAAACCATATTATGGCTTGTGACTCCTCATTGGAAAGCTGGTAGAAAGAGGATTCCAGAGTATTAGTCAAATTTCAGTTTTCCATACGTTTAGAGGTTGCATGGAATTGAAATTCAATTTTGAGATTCAATTTTTTTTCAACGTATAATAATAATAATGATATTGATAATGGATTTGGTTGACAGGTATAGGTAAATACAAAATAAATGAAAAATGATAGAGAGCTGAGAACTGTATACCTATCAAACGGCAGAATTCAAGTTCAGATCATTTCACCAGTGAGAGTGACGTAATCAGAACTTGCTCTTCCATTCAACCGAGGGAAAAAAATCATTATCGCTATGTTATACATAAACCTATAAGTAACCAAATATAAAATAATTCAAATTTACACATGAACATTTCAAATATAAGTCATCATAAAGCTGGATGCATACCTATAAAAAAAAAGTACATCATAGTAACTGAGGCAAAGAGTTATGGAGTAAGTCAGATTTCAGTTTTTTCCTGAAATTTGGAATCGATGATGTTTTCATTGAATTCGGGAGTCGATTGTAAAGCCAGGCGATATTATAGGAGAAAGAGTCACGATGCAGAGTAGTTTCATGAGGTGGTATTGAGAGATTATTTCTGAATCTAAGATTCAAATCATGAATGTCAGTTCTATAGCATATTTTATCGTGGAGATAAGGAGGTGTTTTTGTAGTGATAATTTTATGGTAGAGAATACAACCATGAAATACACGTCGGGCCTCCATATTCAACCATTCTAAATTATTTAGTTGGTGAGTTACATGCTGTCGCCTTCTGGTCCCAGTGATAAGCCTTAAGCATGAATTCTGTAAGGTCTGTCAAATCGACAAGTTGATTTATAAATCGTTTTGAATTTGTGTTGACTAATTGATGGATTTTTTTTTGCCACAACTGCTGTCTGCTATTGTATTTCAGTATTTTCATAGAGCCACACAGTTCGAAACGAACTGTTATTACAAACTCGTGGTGATTCCCTAAATCACTGTTACTGAAAGTCGAAATATTTATGAAGATATGTTGAAAGTATATTGAACTCAACGTATTGCGAACTTAGATATGATCAGTACGCTCGATTCGCTTTCGAGTGGGTTGATCCCATCAGCTATTCCTGGAGGGATATATCCTCCATACTAATCGCCAAATGTAGATGAATTCATTTTAACGTTGACGTGTCCCGCAAATTTTCAAGAAAATCATTCACTTCCCCAGTAGCGAATTTATTCCAGTTAAAATCTCCACCATGTATAGTAAATGTGAAAAATTTCACAAACGATAAGAAGAAAAATATTGGCAATGCTCATAATTTTCATGAACCTGATAATGGAACATTGAGGTTTCTGTATCTCTTGGAGTGCACAATAGTGAATTCGTATGATGCTCGAGGAATATCGTAGGTAGGTATCGGATTTTTTTTGAACATCTGGAAATGAAAAGATTTTAGGAATACTTTCCTTGTCAAAGAATTCTGAAGCTTTGCTGTTGAAGACACTAGATACGTGGACTTTCACAAAAAATGTCACAATTTTCCACACAAGACTTATAGTATATACTGCCGACAGAGCTTGCTCACAGTTCTGGGAGTATAATATACGGGAGCATTGTTGAGTAGTAGCATAGACAAGAAGACTCACGTTGGATAAATGAATATAAGAAGTATCTGGTTGCCATGCACTTGTATCAGAATGGAGTAGCAACTTATGGTTATTTTTTCTAAATCTACGTTGATTTCACATCAAGTTTGTCTGATATTCATTGATAAGTAGATATCTATCTGAAGGCGTTTTCGAGTTGAAAATTAATTTTGGAAATTTTCAAGCGAAATATATCGTGAAAAGAAGCAAATACTTTGGAGACGAATAGGTCGAGTCCAAGAGCTAGGAAACGTTACGGAAAAAGATTGATTATAACATACAGGGTGGTTGAAAATTAATGATCATTTGATAATTTGGAAAAGTGATCAGAAGTTTAGTTTTTTCTGATGGAACACTGATCACTACCGCATTTTCTGATTCTACATTGATCAACTGTCAAGTTTTCTGGAGAATGTATTTTGATAACTGCAGATATCAAACACACAACTTCAAATCATTTTCCGCCGAATACACCTCAAACGTCAACAAATGCCTCCTGATTTCATGACAAATCACTCAAGCTCGTTGCTTGGTCACTCAGCCAATATTGCACCAGGTCTTCCTCGAAACGTACTGAGATCCGGCCAAGACGTTTCGTACGTACTGGAGACGTCCAGATTAGGACCGAAGACGAACTAGGTACGTACTGGAGACGTTCAGATTTCGCGCATTTGTACATTCCTCGCACGTCCATTCAGAACTATGAATACGTAAAATCGCCTTTTTTCACTCAGATAGGTAAACAAAGTAGAAAACATCTGATTATCTGCAAATGTCGATTGACCCTCCTCATTGATACTTTCATAGAATCAGATGATCACGGCAGAGAATACCTAATTAGATATTTTGTAATTAGGTACGGCAAGTGAAAAATGAATAGTCAGAATTGTATTATATTCATGTTTGCAAGGTAGATATCAGAGATCGGAGATAGAAATTATATGCAATGATTACAATCATCATTATGCAATTTATCCAATCCCGTTCACAAAGAGTCGATAACGTCCAGAGTTGAACGTACTCAGAACATCGGAATCTTACGTACCCAGTACGTCTAGAAATGGACGTCTTCAGTACGTCTTGGAAAGTTTCATGACGTGTAGACCTAAATCGAACCTGAAATCGACGTCCTCAGAACGTCGAGTGCTATATAGAAGCCATCAGCCTTCGGCATCGAAGTGTTACCAAGAAACGAGCTCTCGATTGTTGGCAAATCATCTCGTATATCATCAATGTCCTAGGGATCATCACTACTGATAATCTTGAAATTCAGTTTACCATGTGACACACCTTCCTGTCCTTCGTTCTTCTGAAACTGAAATTTGGAGCTCGTATATGCTCTCCAAAGGACATTTCATCAGGAATTATTCCTTGTCTTTCGGTTCTCCTGGAAATGAGTTCAACTTTCAATTTTTCGTTGGACTCGTTTCAATATTCTCCTACCGATTATGGTAAAAAATGTAGGGTGTTCCGTTCGGAAAGTTGAAAATTGATGTTATTTCCAGCAAAATCGAAAGACGAAGAAGAATTGATGGAATGTGTGGAATTGCGTCCTCTAGTGAGCATATTCCATGTTCCAAATTTCAGAATAATATCTATGTATTTCGTTCCGTAATTGGTTGAGGATTATTATAATGAATTCCACTATACCAGGTTCGATTCGATTATTTCGAATGATCATGAAGATATTCGCGTTCGAAGTTCCCATGAGCTCGATGAGTGTGACAAAGAAAATTTTTCCGATATTGCGCCGTCAAACCTATCGAGCATAGGGAAACTTCGAACGCGAATATCTTCGTGATCGTGTGGGATATCCCAATCAAACCTGGTATCGTTGAACTCCTCATAATAATCCCTCACCGATGATGGAAAAAATATTGGCTGTTTCGTTTGAGTAGTTGAAAGTTTGATATCAGTCCCAGGAAATCCGAGAGACGAAGAAGAATTTTTGGTGATGTGAGAAATTGTCCCCTAGTGAGTATATTCGATGTTCCAAATTTCATAAATAAAGCTGCATGATTCTGTATCACCCGGTTGCACCTATCTGAAACCGATTCCAAGATATACAGGGTGTCTGTAAAAGGTTGAGACATGGCTCGGCTGTGGACTGCTGGGATAAAGACAAGTTGATTTTGGCCAAACTTACCTACATCAAAAATCGTCTCGTTGAGTTGGTACAAGGCGATGAAGTTTGTTTGAAAGGAAATAATTGAATGAAACGAGTGGGCTGAGATCGATTTTCATGATTTTTGGTATGGCATGTTCTGTGACTGTGAGTCCCGTCTTGAGATGTTTCAGATCATCATCAGTGACCGGCAAGTGTTTTAAACAACTATGTTGCCGTTCAAATTTGGTGATAACTTTTCAGATGTCGGACTGAAAACTTTTTTTTTCTTGGAAGATATTTCCTTCAAGAATATCTTCTGTATCGTGTCAATATTCGAAAAGTTTCGAGGTTCATTCACAGATGGAAAATTTTTGATCTGAGGCATCTTATGCATTTTTTAGAAAAATAATTTGGTTGGGACATAACTTGAATCTAAAATGAGTTGATTTCAGCCAACTCGATCACCTATATCCAAAATCGTTCCGTTGAGTTAGTACATGGCGTTGAATAACTCACCTTAGGTCCTGAATAGTTATCGCTACATTTGTAACGCGCGAATTCTTGTGAAGCCCGCGAGGATCAGCAACATATCAGTTTTTTGATAATTAGAATACATTGTAGCCATGATCATTAAACAGTCCGACTAATTGAATTAATTATCAAAAATGCGTAGAAAGTATCATATTGAAAATCATCCATCTGCAAATGAACCTCGAGACTTATCGTAAGTTAACACGATACAAAAAATATTTCTGAAGGGATTATCTTTCTGGAAAAACAAAACTGTAAGATTCCAGTCTGGTCCAAATTGGTACGGCAACATGGTTGTTTGAAACACTGGCAGGTCACTGATGATGATCAAAAACATCTCAAAATGTGACTCACAGTCACAGAACATGCCATGCCAAAAATTATGGAAATCGATCTCAGCCTACTCTTTTCATGAGTGAAATTAATGTTTTCCCAAAAGAATTTCAACGCCTTGTATCAACTCAACGAGACGATTTTGGATATAGGTAAGTTGGCCTGAATCAACTTGTTT